AGTGCAAGCTGGACTTGCTCCACAGGCCTACCTGGGACCAGCTGGCCTGGGCCAGACACGGACATGGTGATGGCTTTGTCCTCACAGGGCATAGGAAAGCAGGCCAGTCCCTTCTAGATGTCAGTTCCGTGTAACTGTCACACACATGTCCCAGCAAGATGGAAATGCTTTGAGAGTCTGCACACCCAACCACAAGGTCCAGCCTCCAAGACCCACAGGACCTGCCCAAACCCTGTTTTTTTCAGGAGCCATCTGGTCTCTGAGCAAGAATCTTATCCTGCAAAAATAACTTCAGAAGCTGCCCTAATTTGAGCTCCAATGCTTTAGGTATCTGAGAAGCAGGAGGAAGGACCTGGCTGAGCCACGTGCATCACCAACCCAAACAGCTCCTTTCTTGTGTACTAAAATAGGCAGGACTGGCTGTATCACAACCATCTGTGCTGTGATGGGCTGTGCACAAGCATTTCAGCCCCTCCTTGGGGTGTTCCTAGCCAGGAGTGGCCCAGGGGAAATTCCTTCCTGAAGATGTACCCCCAGAGAAATTCAGGGCCTGGTAGCCAACACCTATCAGAGGAAGAAATTTTAGCTCTGAGCAACAACTAGTCTTCTTGTAGCCTCCAAAACATGCCTGAGGACTTCAAAAGCCCAGTGTCAGGTAACCTGACCTCTTAAATTTAATCAGATAGAACCACCCAAACTGACTGCAGAACTGCAAACTTGCACTGCCTAACCAGCAGCCTTCCCTGTGCCAGAGGGGTGTGCAAGGCTGAATGTCTCAGCAAAGGACACCAAGCACCAGATTTTCAGATATCAAAGGTACACTTAGCTGGGATGGTCAGTGAGTTAGAAAAAGTCTTTTTTAAACAAAAAGAGGAATTCTTTAAATGAACTGCCTGATCTTGCTTTCACAGGGAATGTGCTCAAGCAGGGCAGGAATTCAGGAAAGCTCTGCAGATACACATCTGTAGAAAGCCTTAGCTTCAGTGCCATGTGGGATGTAACCTTAATTTGATACATGATTCCAGAGGTGGCTCAGGCATGCCCTAGTAAAGGCACAAGGGCACAGAGTAAAACCCCTCTGCTTCAGCAGGGCAGGAAGGTGGACACAGCCTTCATCTACACCAGAATTGGTTCTGCCATATTTATCACACCTTGCTGGCAAACACAACACAATCTGAGTAATACAGTATGACTGCTGATGGGGTGTTAGTAGGTTTTCATGGGAAGAGGATCCTGTTAAGAATCCCAATAATTTCCCACACTCAGAGGTAGCTGCCAGAGAGCTTATCTTACAGATAAAATTAACTCTGACCATAAATCCATCCCCCTGAACAAAACCCCAATAAGAAGCAACTTATTCTGTTGCCTAAGAGCTGTGGGTATTACAGTCCCTTGCAGTTTTCCCCTATGCCAGGCTGATGAGGCACCAGTAGTTGGCCCCATGGTCCCACTCCTCCCCAAGGCTGCATTACATGGGGTACTGTGGGAGCCCCTCTGCCAGCCCTGCTGAGACCAGGCAGCTCCAGGGAGGTCTGAAATGGCACAACAGCAGCACTTGATTAACTGTGCAGGGGCTGATGTGAAGAGCGCTGGGGGGAGGCAACATGGAGGGATGCTGAAAGCCAACAATTAAATTTGGAGGCCTGCTTGGCCCATGATGTCATGGCTTTCCAGCACCCAGGTGATTGGCTGTGGGTGAGCATCTGCTGTGAGCTGGGGATGGTTATTTTCCTGAGGTTCAGACCTTTCCCACTGGCTCTGAATCAAGCTGGTTGTCCTGACAACATGGATAGTGGCAGTTTCTGATAATCATGTAATGAGGTTGTCACAAAAAGGAGCTCCTCCATCAGAGAGGTTTAGGGATCATTAATGTTTCCAAGGGAGTGTGAAAGAAGAGGAGGTAAGGGGACCATCTGGCTGTGCTGGAGCATGTCAACAGCCTCCCTTGGAAAGGAGCTTCATTAGACAGGAACCACCTACCAACACGTAGTGATGGGAACAAGAAGGCAGCCTGCCAGCAGCGAAGGGTCCCAACTGCTCAGCTATGGAACGCTGAGATCCAGGCAGAGACAGAGCAAGGAAGACACACAAGTACTGCTGGGAATGATTCAAGTTGCTGAGCAGTGAAAGTGGCCAGGGCTTGCATGGGAACAGCCTGGGACAAGTGACACAGTGAGGCTGGCACATGGAGGCTTTCCCACGGTGCTGCAGCTCTCACGTGCTGCCTCTTGGAGGGTAAGCCACTGAAAGACTCTGTGCTTTAGTTTACCCCATTTGCAGGTAGCTTCTGTGAATGGTTAGAATACTTCCCATTCCTGTCCTGCAAATCTTGTTCAGGGCAGGGCACGGACTTACAGCAATGCAGCTCATTCAAAGAGAATTCATACATGACTCTGCTGTCCGCAGGATCCCTCTTAGCTCAGGTGCAAGATGTCCCCTGAAAACTGAACCTGTGGAATCACGCAAGATACCAAACACTGTGTCTTCCCCTGGGATCTTCTCAGCCCAGGAAACTCTTTGTCCTTCACCTTGTCTTTGTGAAACATGGGTTTCATTCACCTTGTATTCAGGAGACCTGTGAGGTTCTTACTTCCTGTGGCTGCAGTAACAGCGGATTGAGGTGCTGCAGTCTGAAACCTTTGTGGATGGCAATAACATTGTACCTTAGAGAAGCTCAGTTGCCAAACAGCTGATCCCCAGGACCAAGTTCCTGGAGAAGAATGCCCACCTTCATGTTAAATAACACACTTTTTAAAAAACTTTCTTTTAAAATTATGAAGTCTGAATCTTTCCTAAGAGGAGACAGAAATTACCTCCATAGACAAGTCCTTATGAATCTTCCAGCAGTAATTGACAGAATGTGTCTTTTATGTAATTTTAATATGTTTTAAAAATATCTACTAAGTGTAAACATTTGCTATAAAAATATCAACTAAGTGTAAAGTCGGTGTAAGACTTTATTAATACACAACACTTTATTTAGTAATAAAGATTTTATATTAAAAGCTGCTGTACTTTTAGTACATATTTTTACCTGAAACCATGATTTCCCTATTCAAAATTACCGCTTCAACTGTGCATTTTATTGAAATCCAATAGGACTATTAACACATGTCAGTTAAATACCCATCAACTACTAAAGACTGCATTTAATATGTACACTTCTTAATGTACTACTGCTATACCTCATTAAAATTGTGTTGAATCTTCACAAATGTTGTAAACAATCAAGTGGGGTATAATCCACCTCCAGGAGCTAGTAAAACTGAATGTAGTGTTCTCCTACTCTGGGGAGGTGTGTGATATAAAATTCAAAGTTAAGACAAAGATACAGTTGATTACACATAACAGAAATACTCTTAGATAAATAGTAGGCATCAGATTCACAAATCTTGCCTGTCTCAGAAAGGACAGGAATGTTTATATGGATATCCCCAACCTGGAGGAGGGTTTTGCAAGAGGGAAACAATATGACCTGATACTGCTTCATACCTGTGCTCTGCAATTCTCCCTGAGCTGTCTTGAGTGATTTTTACCACATCATTGCTCCTCCAGTTTTGGCAGAGGGGAATCTGAGGCAAAGAGCAGCTCAGGCTGGGCAGCAGCTCAGTGGCAGCTGTACAGTAGCTCTGTCTTCCACGGATCCCCAGTGTCACTCCCAGCCCCCTTTTTGTTTTGTGATTGCAATTTATATCACCTTCCAACAGGAGTAGCAGGACTAACAGCCTGAAGCTGTACTTTAACACAGCTTGTAAACAGAACACATCACAGCTTCCTGCAGAAACACCAGAGGGATCCAGAATTTTTCTGGAGAATCCCTGTTAAGTCCAATCCTGTCTGGTTTGTACTTCTGCATCAACCATGCTCCTTCATGGGGAACATCCCATTTGACTGAACACAAGCAAAGATGACCCACCTGCCTGCTGAGTTTTATCTTCTCAGTCTGCTCTCAGGATTGAGAAAGGCAAGGTCCACCCTATCTACCCAAGCAGCACAGAATGGTTTCCAGTCCTTCCTGGCACCAGAGAATAAGACTCTTCATTCAGAGGCGTGTGGGCAAGTAGTCAAAGCCCAGCACAAACACCAGATTCAATGATACATGACCATGCCCAATTCCCTGCACAAGAGAATCTCAGCGGAGGTGAGAGATCCCTTCCCCTGTAGGAACATCTATACATGACTATGGTACAGTGCACTTTAAAGGCACGGTAAAACCACCACAGAAAAATGGGAAAGTGCAGCAAATTTATCTTCTCCAAGAATAGTTGTCATTCAACAGTGAATCATCATTGGAACAGCTACACATCACCATGCCTCAGTTTTCAGCTTGCAACATGTCTAGATGTGGGTGAAACATATAAAAACCATTCTCCAAGCTGTTTATTTGTTTTAATATGAAAGGCATTTGCCAACAAACTAGATTTTTATACAAGTAATTCTCCATTTTCTCCCCACCTACTTCTGAGCAGGAATGCTACCAATTTTTGTGCCTGCCAAGAGACAGCAAAATAGAGAGGCTCGAGAGGTGAAATGTCACCATTGTACAGACTGCCACACTGTGGCAGTTCAGGCTTAACCATACTGTGGCAGTGTCTGTATCTGGGGTTTTAATTTACATTCACCTTGATGTAAATCATTAATAAATTAATCACTGAGGTGCAGCAAGTGTGAAGCTGCCCTGCCTGCACAACCCTCAGCTCTTGATACCTGAGCTCAACTTTGTCAGTGGGACATCTGCTGAACTCCCACCTTGATGTACAAATTTGGAAAGGGTAAACCTTTTGTGGTACCTGGCATTCTAGGGTTTTAGAAATGCTGAATATGAAAGCCAGTATTAAATTTGTGACTGTCCAGAACATTTCAACATCCCAGACCAAAACCACATGAAGAGAAGGTATAAAAATTAACTGATTCAAGTAAATAAGGCTGTTAGAAAATGAAATAGAATTGCAAGTATTACCCTGGGACTACTATTGAATCTTTTTTAAATGAGTGTTTCTTGGCCAGGCATGTTCGCAATAAAAAAAAATCTTGCTCTCTGGCTCTTTGCCACTGAATGCAGTTATCCTTCAGGAGCAGAAAGGCTTAGGCAGGGATTCAGATCTCTTTTTTGCAGTCCATCATCAAAAGATTTCACATGGGGATGATTCTGGCCTGAAGATATTAGAGTGCTGTTTGCTGTGGAACAGAAGCAATGTCAAGCAGCTGCTAGGAAAACTTTGCCATACTTCATCTCTTGTTGCATTCAGGGTATTCTGGTGCAAGCAGAAAAGTCTGATGCCACTGAAGTCCATGATTTCCCTATGAGCCATGGGAGCAGGAAGGGAGGAAACCTGTGAAGCAAGGTTGTGCAGCAAGGCACTACAAAATAGGGTAGATACAGACTTAATCCAGAAACCAACAAGCTGAGGAGGAAAGACTCTATTTTCAATTTATCATCCCATAATAACCCAGTCAGAAAGACTCCAAGCCTAGGCTGAGTTACCTCTGGCTTGTGTGTAATGCAGACAAACTCATAAAGGTTTGCACCCTTCACAGACCCTAGACCTTCAGCTACGGTATCACAGGGGAGGGTCTGAGTTAATCCTTCAAAGAAGATGAGACAGATGAGGCTGCTTTCATCTTTAGTGGTTCCTTCCCCTTCCACAAATGAAAGCGGATCTTTATGTCCACGTGCCTACTCCTGCTCATTCAGGTCTCCCTTGAAAATCCATTTTTCCCACAACAAATGTGGTGAATCTGAGAAGCAATCTCATATTAGATCAGCATGAACTCTGATTTCACAGCTCCACAGGTGAATATGAACAAAGGTGCTGTGGATGGCAAACATAGCTCTGCATGACGGCTTGTGAGGGCTGGAGAATGCGGGTTCCTATGCAATGCAAAGGTACCATAGGCATCAGGATAACATCAGCCCATAGGGCCTGAAGAAGAAAAAGGTTCCCTTTCCACAAAGGAAGGTTTCATTGCTTAGAGAATATCCCATGACAGTTAAATACCAGGCTGGATCAGGACAGTGCTCTCCCAGCACTACAAGACCAGAGACAAGGGTTGTCTGTGCACTTCCACACTAGCCTGCAAGACTGAAGCCTTATAGTTAGAAAAAGCATGATAGAGAATTCCTATCTTGATCTAGAGAATACCCTTCCCAAGCTTACTAGGGTTGTGACCTGGAACATTAAAATGCAAGAAACTCTCCAGCTGCTGACCATGCAAAGTGGTTGATATTGGATTAAAGATTCAAGGCTCTCTCCTGTAGCATACAGGCACCAACTGCATTGGCTGAAGTGCCCCTCTCTTCTTTAGTGTGCCCAATACCGGCTACAGCAGCAGGACTGAGACTGTCTTTGTGATACAAACAATTTACAACAGCTAAAGAGAAGGATTCCTCTGAAACCTGATTGAGACACTTCAACCAGCATTTTAGAAAGCCTGCCTAGAGGAAGGGCTATTGACTTAGCAAGACTGACCACATCATGATAGTAGATGGAGAATGAGCCAAAAAGCAAACTTACATGTACAGACCACCTCAATGCACTTACTTCTTTAGAGAATATCCCCTTCTTCTCTTCACTGTGAAGACCCTCCAGCACCCTCCTTCCCTTTCTCCCCTGCACACACTAGCAGCTTACTTTACATCAGGACACAGCCAGTAAAATGTGCATGATTTTTTTCATGCCAAGCAGTATTTCTGTTGTTTGTCTCCAAATCTTGGTTTTGTTTGGCCACAAAGGGAACTCCATAAGCAGTTGTGAAGGCTAAGCATGTGTGCAGGTACAAACACCAAGGTGAAGTTCAGTCCATAAATTTATCTTCCATGTCATTGGGATGGCTACAGTCTGCTTTGACACAGCATAGCTGAAACCAATTATTAGTTTGGAGACAGAAGGCCACTATCCCAGAAATAATCCTTTTATCATATTTTCAGAGTCCGTAAAGCAGTGCAGCATAAATTTTCTGACAAAAGAGTGTGTTTTTTCTTCTCATGATTCTTGAATTATGCATTTCGGTGTACAAAACTACACAGGTTTGACAAGTCTTACCTGAACAGTAGAAGAGTTTTGAATCCCAAGATTAAGGAAGGATATGTTCATGAGACCCTGGCCACATGGCAGTCTATAGGAAGAGGTTAAGACCTGTTGGACATCTTTTGAAAACACTTTCAGTGACCAGTTTCTTTAAGAAGCTCAAGGAAGCATGAATTTCATCATTCATGCACAGAGTGGAAGAACACAATTAATGGAAAATCTGTGAAAGTTTCATTCTCCATCCAATGTGGATCAAAACCAAACACAGTAACAAAAAATACTTCCAAGAATTTTAAGTATGACCTTTTGGCCAGCTTGAGTCAAATGTATAAAACATGATAGTACATTTCAGCCCTCACCTCTGACTGTGAAAGTCAGGTTTTCAGAGAATACAGTCAGTCTTATTAATCTGGTGCTCAAAGATGTTATCTAATCAAAAGCTGGGATCAGGAAGAAATCTTCAGCTGACATTAAAATGTTAAATGCAATGGACTGAATCCGATTATTATTGCTATTGCAATTGCTAATATATGAGATGGGGCTGGAGGGTCTGATTACCAAGATAAACAAGTGCCATCAGTGCCACTGGAGACAGAGACTAATTGAAGCTTTGGACTTGTTCTGCTCTGCAGTGCCAGGTCAGACTCCCCTTCCACCTCAGACCTGCTGATATCTGGGAATCCAGAAAGCTCCCACAGGGTCAGAGAATCCCTGTCCCAGTGATAGTGTCTGGGTGCTCTCACGCATCACAAAGGCTACAAACCTGCATGGTTGCCCAACTGTTTTGCTAACCTCCACGTTCCATGGGATACTTCCTTCTTTTGGTACCCGTAAAATTGAAAGCTCAGAGATTTATGATCCCAGGTAAAGCCAGCATATAAACAGAGAAACAATTTCCTTCCATGAGCAAGTTAATTTCTCTTGTAAGAGATCTCACATCAGGCTGTCATCTCTTCAGCCAAGGTATCAAGACAACCTTCGTTGTCATGGAAGTGCCTTTGCAGTCAGTCTACCTGCCAGTCCAAGCTCTTCAATGCAAAGATATGTCATAAACCTTCCTCCCAAAAAATCCTTCACTGAGTGAGAGGAAAATGGGCTGCATCGTCAGCTTTCAACTATTTGAAATGACTTTGTGAAGTTTTATAGGGACCCAACCCAGCCAAGAACAATCACCCTTAAAACAGAAATGAAAATTAAATATATTTATTTTTTTATGAATAAAAAAGCAGCATGTTCCACTGGAGCGTCCACTCCACCTCTGTGCCACTGTGACACCTCCACTTACAGTCACACTTAGCTTCTGCCAGGGCACCATGGGGCCCACCAGGCATCACACTCGGTACTCACCTCCCAATATTGTCTGGAGCAGGTAATGATTCCATACAATCTTTTCAATGACAGGTTCCATCTCACATGGAGGCTGCTGTCAAGGAGGAAGAGAGCCAGAAGCCAATATTGGATTTGGTGATAACCCACCTGCTCTCCTGATCACACGTATCCACGCTGGACTCCAGCCAACAGGATGCTGCCAAATGTAATAGATGATTACATGACATTACTCCAGCTTACACCAGTGTAAATAACACTGGGCTCCTGCCCTTCTTTTCCTGTGCTACAAGTGTGGCTTTATTGTGCAGCTGCCAGTCTGAATGCCAATCCACTCTTCCTTTGGCTTTCTTCAGGACCCAGACTCTCACGCTTCAGTGCATCCTTGCAGTTGAAACAAGATGTTTGCTCATACATATTTTTAATCCTGTTGCTACCCTAGCTGCTTCTTGTTAGTGGCCTTGCACAGCCACACCAGGGGAACAGCCCAATTATCTTGTACAACTCAGAGGAGAGCCACTGCTGCAGGAGAGGAGTGCTTGCCCCAGTGAGAACAGCTACTGTCCCATGGTGAGGGGAGGAAATCCCAGAGGCAAGGGAGGAAATGCCAGATAAATTCCTTACCACCAAAGGAAGAGAAACACCATTCTTCTAGCACATGCTGTCTTTGTTACATCTCAGAGGGCTGTGCACAACCCTGCAGATGCGGGTAAGGAGTGATTTCTGAACAGAGCAGCTCTCTGGGGCAGAGCTCCAGAAGTAATGCAGGGCTGGACCACTCCAGGGCACACTCACTCTTTACAGGACAAAATGACATATGGTCACAGACCCAAAGCTGGCCAGTAGAGACATATATTGCTGAACAGGATGGGTTTACCCATCACCAGTATTTCAGCTTCTGCTGACTTGGACTGAAGCTCCCAAGGAACCACCTTAGCCAAGCCCAGTCACACTGGAGTCACACTGACCACAGTGTCTCCTTGGAGCTGATAACTACAGGTCAAGTTATAGTCAGGGCTACCAGCACACAGCCTCACACCACTCTCCCTGTGCTACTGGCTTGCAGTATGAAGCATAGGTGAAGGTAAGACAAGCCTTATGTATTTAGGTTAAGCCAAAATCTCTCTGCTCACACAGACATCACCACAAAGACCCACTCCTGCTCCTTCAAGCTTGTCATCACATGAGACACGGGCTCTACCTCCCATAAGAGATCTGATCTGTCAGTTCAGGCTGAGGCATATGAAACCCAACTCCTTCTCCTCCAAGGAGATAAGTGACTGTACAACCTTAGCTACACTTACTGGTGTCTGTAGTTAGGGAAGAGGAGACTGACTCATCCTTTGGAGGTCCAGTCCCTTCACCACCTGCCTTCCCCAAGTTCTGCACCAGTGAAATGGATTTTCACATTCAGTCCTGCACACAGTCTTGAGCAATCCCATGTGATTTTGTGTGGCAGCCGTGCTCTTTTTGAAACACTGCATGGTCTAGAACAGATTGACTGCACAGCAAGGTGAACAAAATGTCTGGACAATTGCTATGGCAAAAAACTGGCATTGCTTCATACTACTGCTGCCAATTATGTCCTGGCAGTACAATGAATCCCTTACCACCTTCGCTCACAAATGCTGGGCAGGAGGAGCTTTATAGCCTTTGCTTTTGCCTCACTAATCTTTGGTGGACTGACAAGTCCCATGGACCAGGAACAGACTGCTCTTCTGGCTCAGAAACAGAGCTCATACTTTGCCTTTACTGACTGTTCAAAATGTGCCCTCAGATCCTGGTGTGCCATTTTTCTAATGAAAGCTGAATGTCACTGCCTGTCCCACCAGGAATAAATGCCAGCAGCATGAAGCCCCAATTCTGGCCACTTCTTGCACCAGACAGCAGTTGGACTGTTTGTCACATGAGAGGGGCAATGGGCACGAATGTGCCACCCCATCTGATGCCAGCATGCCTGGTGTCATGTAAGCCATTCTGTTGTCAAAAAATCCCAAATTTTGGTGGTGACATCAGCCATCGCTGAATTAGCAAGTCTGCATCACTACATCCTTTCAGTGCCCTTGTACTCACCAGGCCTAGAAAGATGAGCTGCTCTGAATGGAAACAGGGTCTTACCAACACAAGGCTCTCTGCTTACTGCAGCACTGGCCACCACCCTACAGTGTCTGACTTCAGCAGGTGAATGCTGCCCTATTCTGCACTTGTGCTGGTTTTGCATTAATTGAAATTTGTTGAGGAGGAAAGATGATATTTTTGGGAGGGGGCTGCTAAGAGCTTCCTCTGTGCCTAGCAAAAACAAATAGCTGGCTACCTCTGAGAACTGACAACCTATTGAACCATTTAGAACCTGGGTCCGCCTCTGTGAGATTCATATTTTAAAGACAGGCAAGCCCAGGACATCTCCCTTGCTTTGGCTTTGAAAGAGGTGAGTGGCAGACCCAGCCTTGCGTGGCCTGCGTGGCTGGGCCGAGCTGGTCCCATGCAACCTGGCTGTTACCGCTGAAGATGAATAGATCACGCAGACACAGGTCGAGGTGTGGTGAAAGAAAGAGCAGAGTTTATTTTCCCTCCCAGGATTTATAGGCTTCTGACCACGGCCAGGGATTGGATGGTCAGGATAACACTTTCTCACTGCACTGGCCATGAGAGATGCCCATCACAAGACGTGTAACAGAAAGAATGTACACATATCTATGTTTGCAGTTTCTGTCCTGGGAAAGTCCTTAGAAAACTATGTTAGCAAGCTCAGAAGCTGAGTTTTCAGGGCGACACCTGGCCAAGGTTTTCTGGGTGGTGAGTGGGCTGCTGGGCTCTTCACTAGGGAGTTCCCTGGGTCTTGTCCCAGCGGGCGGCTGGAGTCCCTTCCCAGCAGGGCTGGGCCCATTCCTGGCAGAGTTCGCCAGTCCTTTTTCCAGCGGTGCCGCCAGGCTATGCCACACTGGCACCGAGAACAGCCATGCGGCGGGGACCAACGCTGGGAGTGGTCCTGTGGTCAGTGCTGGGGATGGCCCACAGGCCAGGAGTGGCTGAAGGCTGGAAGTGGCCACTGCTGTTTTGTACCGGGAGCGGCCACATGGCCGGGACTGCGCAGCCGAAAGCAGTGAGACTGGGACTGCAGCATGCGGCCTTGGCTGTTTCAGCATGCCTCACAATGAATTCTGTTTGGCCGCTTTTAGCCAGCCATGGTGCGCACAGAAGGACAAAAACGGCAGCAGCAGCTTTTCTTGTTTCCGGAGCTCGGCATGAAGAAAAGCGCTGAGCGAGCTGGCACGACGGTGTCGGCAGAGACCCCGTGAGCAGCAGTGAGGCATGGAGAGCGATCTCCCCAATGCACAGCCTGGATGAGATCAGCTTTTCAGCGCTGCAAAACTCTATAAAAACTGTTTCAGTTGATAAAGCTTGAGAACAAATGAACCTACGAATTCTCTCCCAAGTCAGGGAAAGGAAGGGGTGAAGACATGTAAGGAAAACAATATGGGACGCTGAGGTTGGCAAAGAAGGAGTCAAATTCTGGTTAGGAGGGAACTGAGGAGATATCTTGGGCTGAAATTCTCTTTGTAAAGCTATAGTGAAGATATATGTTTGATATACCAGACTTTGTTTTTTCACTGTAAGTCATGAAGTGCATGATGTAGCATTCACCTGTAGCCCATGAGAAAATGCTCCATTCACTGGAGCATGTGGATTCTGAAAAGCTGTAATTTAATGAGGAGCTTGAACAGAGAGAGAGATGAGAAACTTTCCTCCAGGGATAGAAGAAGAGCTTCTGTTCCCAGAGATAAAAGAAGAGAACTTTGGGGGTTTTTTATGCCAGAGCAGCTCATCCTTAAAATAGTTCCCCATAAGTTGACATGGCCCATGAAAGCAGCTTTGGGAAAGCTGCAAGGCATGGGAGGGACTTTCACACTGCAAACAGATTTTCCTTTCCCGGCTGGCTGTTTCACTGTGACATTAAGCCACAGGAAAACTGTTTCTTATGGAGAAGTCTCCATGGCATGGCAAGAGAAACTCCTCTCCCTACAAGAACTGATGAAAGACAATTGTAGAGGTGGCAGGTGATTGAAAATCCCAGGTTTTGTCTCTACACTGTCAGTTGGGAAAGAAAAGAAGTTGTGGAGAGGGAGAAGAAGTGTTCTGAAGGTCTTATTCTGATTCGTATTCTTTTAGTTTTGTTAATAAAGTTTTCTTTATACCTTTTAAGTTTTGAGCCTGCTTTGCATTCCTTCTCATATCTCTTCATGTCTCACAGCAGGAAACGAGTTAGTAATTCTAGTAGGTGCACTGACAATTTTAACCAGCGCTAAACCCACTACAGCACTTTTTGTTACACATGCCAGAAGTGATTTTGGCCCTTCAAAACCCTGAGACAATGTTGTGTATTCATGAGTGCCCTCTGCTGGCACCTTCCCCATTAACCTTTCCAAAGCCACTTGGTGGAGTGTGGAGCTCTCCAGATCCAGAGCACACAGGTACCATTGGCTCCTGTCCCCTTCCTAGCAGGTGAAAAATTCTGTGCCTTCTCCAATATCCCAAAGTTTCTGGTCTCATCAGCTGCTGAAAATAAAGCAGGTAGATCCATTCTGTAATCTGCTACACTAAGTGTTAAAGCAAAACAAACATGTTTCCCTGGTAGGATTAAGCATAGGAGTTAAGGAAACACTTGAGACCTCAGGAGATTCTTAGTGATGCTTCCACTATCTGGATAACAAGACATCAACACAAAAAATGTCCACCTAACATAAACGTGTACTGGCTTCTTCCTCAAAAGACTGCCTGGCCCTCTGGAACTTCAGTGTTCAAGTATTGCAGCTGCAAAGACAACCCTGAGACTCAGAAAGCCAGATATATTGCAGAGTGTGCTGAGGGCCAGAAAGAATGGCTCTGCCATGAGTGACTAACAGTTTCTGTATCCCCGCTGGATGCCTGATTAAATTACCTGCTCTAACCTAAGTAGAAATTATTAAGCTTGAAGTAGAAATCTTTGGATAAAAGTTTGTGACCCATTTTGCATGGCAGGTCAGACTATCTGGTCTGAATTGTCCCATTCTCTTGTGATGAGGGCCATGATGGGAGAGCTTGAATCTGAGAACTGGCAGCCAAAGAACAGCAGGACACTGTAAGAGTTTACCTGGGATCACAGTACCATTAAAGCAGTACTTTAGGAGGGAAAATACTAATATTTCCTACCCAGGTTTTTCTCAAGCAGTAATGAAAAATTAAGGAGATATA